GGCAGGATTTCCTTCTTTTTTATGTTTGAATATTGAAATGTACATATACATCGTAACTTCTTCATTCATTCATCCATCAATGGACACTTAGGTTGCTTAAGTATTTTGGCTATTGTAGATAATGCTGCTATGAACGTGAGGGTGCAGATATCTCTTTGACATAGTGTTTTTGTTTCCTTTGAATATATTGCTGGATCATATGGTAATTCTGTTTTTAATTTTTTGAGGACCCTCCGTGCTGTTTTCCCTAGTGGTTGTGCTAATTTACAATTCCACCAGCAGTGCACAAGGGTTTCCTTTTTCTCCACATCTTTGCCAGCATTTGTTATCACTCGTCTTTTTGATAGTAGCCATTCTAATAGGCATGAGGTGATATCTCATTGTGGTTTTGACTTGCATTTCCCTAATAATTAGTGATGCTGAGCACCTTTTCATTTACCTCTTAGCCATTTGTATATCTTTTTTGGAAAAATACCTGTTCCGGTCCTTTGCCCATTTGTTTTTAAAGATTTATTTTGTTTATTTTAGAGAATGAGAAAGAACAAGGGGGAGGGACAGAGAAGAGGGAGAGAATCCTTAAGCAGACTCCCCACTGAACGCAGGGCTCTATCCCAGGACCCTGATATCATGACCCAAGCCAAAGGCAGATGCTTAACTGACTGAGCCACCCAGCCGCCCCATGCTTGCCCATTTTTAATTGGATTGTGTGTGTGTATGTGTGTGTGTGTGTGTTTTACTATTGTGTTGTGAGTTCTTTGTATATTTTGGATATTAATTCCTTATCAGATATATGGTTTGCAAATTCAATGGACTGCTCTTAATGACATCTGCATAGCTTCATTTTTCCAAGTAATATATTAAGGGTGCTGTATTGGCAATGCCATCTTGTGTTAAGATCTTTGGTGTCAGGCCAACCCAGATATGAATACTGGCTCTGAAACTTGCTGCATTCTAGTACTACACTGACCTATATTATTTTGGATATCCCTAAAACAATAACTACTGTTTATTTAGAATCTGGACTGGCCAGGTACTATGCTAGACATTTATGTGTGTATTACCTTAGTTAATACAAATCAAAATAACCAACATTTTTTGAGACACATACTAATATAAAATATTTCCATGCCTTTTGTGATTTAATGCAACAACCCAATGAAGTGTTGGTACTATAATTATCCCCACTTTACAGAAGAAGAAATTGAGACCAACAGAATAAATTTTTAAAATATGAGGAAATCAGGTTGCTGTCAAGATTCTGGTTTCATTTTCTCTTCTTCTCTACCTGTGGAATTAGACTTTTTATATGTTACCCAAGCTTGTTGCAAAGAGTAACTGCAACTTCAACTTAAGATCTCTTTTTGTTTTTTCTTTAAGAAACTTCTTTTAGGTTGTGAATGCTGAGAGTATCTCCAGGAGTCTAAGAGAAGATGTCAGGTGAAGATTGGTTTCTAAGAGGAAAGCACTGGGCAGACTTGCAAGAGCATAAGCTCAATTCCAGACAAGTACAGCTCTAGAAATACCAACCTTAGCCATAAACGAAAAGGCAATGTTTATATATATTTGTTATAAAAAGTATGGCTTATTTTTTTCTATCATTTCCATAAAAGAACAATTCTTTGTCAGCAGTGACATTTTTGAAGTCCAAAGTTGATATAGTTTGTGCTTGTAAAATATATTATGACATTTAATCACTATCAAAAGTGCCCAGATAGGAATTTTCTTTGGGGAAGTAAAACTTTGTCACTAAGGCATGAGGTGTTTGATTGTAGCACTGCTTACTTTGGCAACTGTATTTCCATAGTACTTGTGTAGCATAAGTTTTTTACCCCTTCTTTTCCTTTGTCAGCAGGGAACTGTTTTTCCTCTTTTAATATATAACAATCAGTTTTTTTTCAGTATTTAATCACTTATTATAAATGGGGTTGAATTATGTCTTAATCTAAAAGTATAGACCAGGGGCGCCTGGGTGGCTCAGTAAATTAAGTGTCCTGACTTTTGATTTCGGCTCAGGTCATGATCTCAGGGTCGTGAGATTGAGCCTGTATCACAGGCTCCATGCTGGATATGAAGCCTGCTTAAGATTCTCTCCCTGTTGCTGACCTTCTACACCTTTGGTTGTGTGTTCTCTGGGCTGGTGTCCACTGGCTTGAAGGTCAGGATCATGGGACCCAACTATACCCCTGGGAAGAAGGAGGACCTGTACCTGAAACCCATCCAAAGGACACTCCTGATGATGGGCCGTTATGTGGAGCCCATTGAAGATGTGCCTTGTGGGAACGTTGTGGGTCTGGTGGGGGTGGACCAGTTCCTGGTGAAGACTGGCACCAACACTACCTTTGAGCATGTCCACAACATGCGGGTGATAAAGTTCAGCATGAGCCCTGTCATCTAGGTTGCTGTGGAGGCCAAGAATCTGGCTGACCTTCCCAAGCTAGTGGAGGGTCTGAAACGGCTGGCCAAGTCGAACCCTATGGTGCATCATTGAGGAGTCCAGGGAGCACATCATCGCAGGGGCTGGGGAGCTGCACCTGGAGATTTGTCTGAAGGACCTGGAGGAGGACCATGCCTGCATGCCCATCAAGGAATCTGACCACATAGCCTCCTATTGTGAGAGTGTCAGTGAGGAGTCAAATGTGCTCTGCCTGTCCAAGTTCTCCAACAAGCCCAACCGGCTGTACATGAAGGCATGGCCCTTCCCTGACGGCCTGGCTGAGGACATTGACAAGAGTGAGGTGTCCGCCCGGCAGGAGCTCAAGCAGCGGGCCCACTATCTGGCCGAGAAGTATGAGTGGGATGTGGCTGAGGCCCGCAAGATCTGGTGCTTCAGGCCTGATGGCACTGGCCCCAGCATCCTCACTGACATCACCAAGGTTGTGCAGTACCTCAACGAGATCAAGGATAGCATGGTAGCTGGCTTCCAGTGGGCCACCAAAGAGGGGGCTCTGTGCAAAGAAAATATGCGTGTTGTGTGCTTTGATATCCACAATGTGACCCTGCATGTGGACGCCATCCACCACGCGGGGGGCCGGTGGGGGAGATCATCCCCACTGCCTGGCGCTGCCTCTATGCTAGTGTGCTGACTGCCTAGCCCCGGCTTATGGAGCCCATCTACCTTATGGAGATTCAGTGTCTGGAACAAGTGGTTGGTGGCATCTACGGTGTCCTGAACAGGAAGCGGGCTGATGTGTTTGAGGAGTCCCAGGTGGCTGGCATGCCCATGTTTGTCGTGAAGACCTATCTGCCCGTGAATGAGTCCTTTGGCTTCACTGCTGACCTGAGGTCCAACACTGGTGGCTAGGCCTTCCCCCAGTGCGTTTTTGACCACTGGCAGATCCTGCCCGGGGATCCTTTTGACAACACCAGCCACCCCAGCCAGGTGGTAGCCGAAACACGCAAGCGCAAAGGCCTGAAGGAAGGCATCCTGGCCCTGGACAACTTCCTGAACAAATTGTAGGCAGCCCTCACCTGCAGCCCACCACCCCGGGTGGGACTCAGCACAGCCCCTGTACCCAACTGACAGTCGACCACAGTGACAAGCCCTTGCATTCTCCATAACACCTCGAGACTGTCCATGGGGACGCTCCACCTGACAGGTTCTTGGGGCCCACTCAGTGTCATCACTCAATGTGAACACTTGGATGCTGTTTCTTTCGATATTTATTTCAAGATTTCAGAGGCAACAGAAATGCCCTGGCAGCAGGGACTTACTCGGCCGGTGGGGGTGGGGGAGGCGGGATGGGGCACTCAACACTTTTTTCCATTTCAGAAACTCAAATGTCCAAAAAAAATAAATAAATAAAATAATGTTTTGAGAGGTTTATTTGGGTAAATGGCCCATAGTGGATTTTCCCCCAGAAAGGGGGAAGGAACAAGCGGGTAGACCTTTCTCTTTGGACAGAAGCTAGAAGACAGGAAACTTTGTGCAGTGTCACCGTTAGCACCTCCAGCTGTATTAGTGCCATTGGAATAATAAATTTGATATGGTGGTGAAAAAAAAAAATTCTCTCCCTCCCCCTTTGCCCCTTTCCCTGCTCATGCGCTCTCTCTCTAAAAATAAACTATGAAAAAGTATACTTTTAAAAATATACTTTTTAAAAAAAAGTATAGATTAGCAACAACCTAATAGAAGTAGATATATGCAAAACTTGTATATTCTGATTCAACAATCTGCTTAATATACTGTAATTCTAGAAATTAGCTGATTGATTTATAAGTAGACTTGATTCCTGAAAAATAATTTGTGGAACACTGGGAAAATTTTGATTCCTCACTGTTTTTCATTAGCATCATGTTCATTTTTGCCTTTTTGCCTTTAAGTCTTTTGTCTT